ATCCATTCCTTATGACAAACCTTACCCTTTCTATCCACTCCTTATGACAAACCTTACCCTTTCTATCCACTCCGTATGACAATCCTTACCCTTTTTATCCATTCCTTATGACAAACCTTACCCTTTCTATCCACTCCTTATGACAAACCTTACCCTTTCTATCCACCCCGTATGACAAACCTTACCCTTTCTATCCACTCCGTATGACAAACCTTACTCTTTCTATCCGCTCCGTATGACAAACCTTACTCTTTCTATCCACTCCGTATGACAAACCTTACTCTTTCTATCCGCTCCGTATGACAAACCTTACTCTTTCTATCCACTCCGTATGACAAACCTTACCCTTTCTATCCACTCCGTATGACAAACCTTACCCCTTGAAGTTGCAAACATTCTCTTGTGATCTATATGCAGGAAAATAATATTGTTTCAGAAAAAGTCATTAGAAAACGTAGAACATTTTAATCTTAGATAAACCAGATTAGGAAACGTAGAACATTTTCATCTTAGATAAACCGGATTAGGAAACGTAGAACATTTTAATCCATTATAACCTGAATTAGTAAGTGCATAACATTTTAATCTTAGATAAACCTGCTTAGGAAATGCAGAACACTTTAATCTTAGATAACGGGATTAGCAAACGTAGAACATTTTAACCACTTATAATCTAGATTAGTAAGTGTATAACATTTTAACCCTAGATAAATCGGATTGGGAAATACAGAACATTTTAATCTTAGATAAACCGGATTAGCAAACGTAGAACATTTTAACCACTTATAATCTAGATCAGTAAGTGTATAACATTTTAACCCTAGATAAATCGGATTAGGAAATACAGAACATTTTAATCTTAGATAAACCGGATTAGCAAACGTAGAACATTTTAACCACTTATAATCTAGATTAGTAAGTGTATAACATTTTAACCCTAGATAAATCGGATTAGGAAATACAGAACATTTTAATCTTAGATAAACCGGATTAGGAAACGTAAAACATTTTAACCCCTTATAATCTAGATTAGTAAGTGTATAGCATTTTAACCCTAGATAAATCGGATTAGGAAATGCAGAACATTTTAATCTTAGATAAACCGGATTAGGAAACGTAGAACATTTTAACCCCTTATAATCTAGATTAGTAAGTGTATAACATTTTAACCCTAGATAAACTAAATTTAAAAGTTCAGAACGGATACTCCTGATAAGTAAAGATCGTTTTATTATTTATTTATCTTTTCTAGAAAGGTTTGTTAATTTTAACTCCAGAGAAACGATTGTTATTTCATTACGCTCTTGTTTCCCACAGTCTGTGCCTTCCCTTATATCATAGCATTTACCCAAGACACGATTGAGATCCGACTCGTTATTAACGGAAACCTTGTGCACAGTATGACTATGCCCAAAGTAACCATGATAACAGCAAAAGTAAGATTTTGGGGGCTTAACCCCAATTAAATGTATTCTTATGTAGTTGTCATTAATCGTAGATTACGCTGTAAATCATCTATGAAGAGATTTTCTAGCAAACCTTTGGAGTCATTCTGTTAAATTTTGAATTTCTAGCAAACTATTTGAGTCATTCTGTTAAATTTTGAATTTCTAGCAAACTATTTGAGTCATTCTGTTAAATTTTGAATTTCTAGCAAACCTTTTAAGTCATTCTGCTCAAATTTTGATTTTCTAGCAAACCTTTGGAGTCATTCTGTTAAATTTTGAATTTCTAGCAAACTATTTGAGTCATTCTGTTCAAATTTTGAATTTATAGCAAACCTTTTGAGTCATTCTGTTCAAATTTTGAATTTCTAGCAAACCTTTTGAGTCATTCTGTTCAAATTTTGAATTTCTAGCAAACTATTTGAGTCATTCTGTTAAATTTTGAATTTCTAGCAAACCTTTGTAGTCATTCTGTTAAATTTTGAATTTCTAGCAAACTATTTGAGTCATTCTGTTCAAATTTTGAATTTCTAGAAAACTATTTGAGTCATTCTGTTAAATTTTGAATTTCTAGCAAATCTTTAGAGTCATTCTGTAAAATATAATGTGACATGTAGATAATTGTAAACTACTAGTAATGTGACATGTAGATAATTGTAAACTACTGGTAATGTGACATGTTAATAATTGTAAACTACTAGTAATGTGACATGTAGATAATTATAAATTACTAGTAAAGTGACATGTAGATAATTATAAATTACTACTAATGAGACATCTTGAGAATTATAAATTACCGCCGGTATTACATCTTGAGAATTATAAGTTACTACTAATGTGACATCTTGAGAATTATAAATTACCGCCGGTATTACATCTTGAGAATTATAAGTTACTACTAATGTGACATCTTGAGAATTATAAATTACTGCTAGTGTGACATGAGGACAGTCGTAAGCTACTGAACGTAAATAAGAAACAGTCATTGCTAGTAAGGATATTATACCTGCATGTTTTTTATCCAGATGTTAACTTTGGATTATCATCTCATCAAAAACAAAATGATATTTCGTCTCAAATTCATGCTGTTAATTTTTGTTTTTTTTTAACCACAGAGCGACATCTATTTCTCGAGTACAGCACCAGAATTTTTCCAAGTAAAACGAGAAAGAGTAAAAGTTGACAAAATGGAAAGAGACCCTAGCATTTCTCCACCGTCGTCGCCACATTGTAAGTTCTGTTTTAATTTGTTTTCCGAATGAAATTAATTAAGTAATTATCTCCTTATCAACCTAAAAAAAAAAATGTGTCGGCCGAAAAAATAAGAATGTTTCATTAAGAAAATTCCTTTAAAATACGGGACCATAACTTTATCGTTCAAAACTACAGGTTTATAAAGCGTGAGAGATTAATTTCATTCTTAAAACAAAATGTATAAACATGAACAACTGTAAATCTGTAGGGTTTGATGTGTTATTTAAATCTTTAAGGGTTATAAATCCTTGAAACACGAACACGTCTTATTTTTCTTTGATGATCTTCTAGATTTGCTATGTAATACAAACTTGCTAATAGTACGTTTATAGACTAGAGCAGTGGTTCTTAACCTTTTTTGCTCCATGCCCCCACCTCGACACCTCACAAAATTTGATGCCCCCTTAATATAAAAACAAATTTGGTGTTGAAAAGGTATAATAATATAATGTAAAAATTGTCTTATTGTAGCATTTTCAAATTGCCCCCAATATATTTAAATGCCCCCCCCCCCGTGGGGCGTGCGCTCCACGTTCAGAATCACTGGACTAGGGTATAATTAAGTCTACAACTCGAGATCTCTGATTACTGTATGACTTAATTGATGGTCGTGAAAATTGATAATTTTGGGTATTCCAAGTTCTGTGCCCATTCAAGCTACGCTTGTAAAGTGGGTCAGTTTTGATTTGCTTACCTGTTTGTATCTCATTTAATCTTCATCTTGAGGGTTACATCAAAACTGAAATGTTACTGTTTTCTATTCGCCAGAGAATCCTTGAAATCAATGCCTTATTTTGTTCACCCGCTATAACTGTTTTGCGATACAGGCGCATGACAAGTCCTAATATCTTTGTTTGTTTTGTTTATGACAAAGCTTCTAAAGTTATCTCCCGCCGTCTCTTATTTCTAACTGTCGACCAGGATAAAGGCAACCAGCCGATAGCACCCACCACTGCTACTTACGAATAGTGGGATTGACCGTCACACTATAACACCCTAATATTGAGACAGTCCACACATTGCAACCTACCAACACAACCTGTAGTAGTTACCAATGAAGTAGGGCCCGGCATGGCCAGGTGGTTAAGGCGCTCGACTCGCAATCTGAGGGTCGCGGGTTCGAATCCCCGTCACACCAAACATGCTCGCCCTTTCAGCCGTGGGGGAGTTA